CCCCCCCTCCATTTCCAAATATTCTGCTCCCCCAGCGATTTGCCGCAAAGTTTTGTCCAGAGGCAGAATAAATATCCAGGTTTTGATGATATCAATACTAGTGAAACCAAACCAAACCAGACAAGAAATTCTTTCCAAACCAAATCAACCCCATCTGTCATCTTGAACATCCTTTAGCCTCTTTCAGGCCCTCTTAACATCTTTGAAACCTATGAACTCTCTTTGAACCCCCATGAAAATCTAAACATTGCACTTCCTTGAACCCCCATGACCTATTTAAATCACTAAACCTTATGGAAGTGCCTTGAACCCCCATAAAACTCTTTTAACCCTCTTCAACCTCTTTAATCGCCTGAACTTGTTTGAACCTTTTAGAAGTTAGAGCCCCTTTGCACCCACTTGAAGCACTTGAACCTTTTAACCCCTTTGACCCCCCAACCCTGCTTAAAACATCCTGTAACCTAGCTATTTAAACGTTCTTGAACTCCCTACAACCCCCACCAAGGCCCCCCTCGAAATTTTTTAATCCCTCTGAAGCTCTCGGTCAATTCCCTTGAAATCTCTTGAATCCCATGAACGAACCCCCTGAACCCCCTTGAACCCCCTTTAACCCTTTTTAAACTTCTTAAACCCCCTATAACTTCCTTGAAGAACTCTGTAAAAGATGGTGAAACACAAACAAAACGGTTTGTCTGAAAAACCTGAGATATCATCTCAAATTTCTTTCACAAATATAACTTCAGGAGAAAAGTCCGATATATGCAGTATTTACTATTTGTTTTGCACTGTTTTCTACAGGACTGTAACTGAGAAGGGGGGCAATCCTCCACCAGTGTCCGAATTCAATGATTTTGAGCCGCGGCTTAAATCTGCCAAAAACCGGTTTCAATTGAGCGCCGGCTTAAATCTTGAAAAATTTAATACAATGTTAAGTGGAATGAACCATATTTGAGCCGAGGTTTAAATTTAAGCCGCGGCTCAAATTCTTTAAATTCGGCCTCAGTTTATGTTAAATATAATGTAAACAATAAATATATAATTTTTTTCCTTTGATTTCTATTTTTTCTATTTTTTTTTTAGAAATTGGGAGGAAATATTCCCACAACCTCTATTTTTGGAGGTTTTAAAATATTTTCTCTAGAAACACTTAATTTTGTATGTTATTGTTATATTTCATAAACAGATAATTACTTACTACTTACTTACTTACTAGTTTTAGTTTTACTATGTAATTTTGAGACAATTACTTGAATTCAAAACAATGTAAATTATCAAGCATTTACATACGTAACCAAACAAGATTTTTGATATTAAGCATTAACATACGTAACCAAACAAGATGTTTGATATTAAGCATTTATAACGTAACCAAACAAGCTGTTTGATATTAAGCATTTACATATACGTAACCAAACAAGATGTTTGATATTAAGCATTTACATATACGTAACCAAACAAGATGTTTGATATTAAGCATTTACATACGTAACCAAACAAGATGTTTGATATTAAGCATTTTGTCGATCCAACTTTTAATTCCATATATTAACATTGCAGCCAGCACTACGTTTAACGAATACGGATTATTTTGATCACGTTTCGAAAACCATACCCACCCCACCCCTCATTCTTTTTCTTACCTCTACCTAGATAGAACTGCAATCCCTCTCAATCCCAACTTCCATTGTCATAATTTTTTCTTCAAACAAAATTCCGAACTATTTTTAACTAATTGCTTAAAGTTCAGAAAAGAACAAAAACTCGCCTGTAATGTACAAAAATATTATAAAATTATGAAATGAGTATAACGAGGGAAGGGGGGGGGGAATTACCCCCCTCCCCTCCACCTCCATTCCGTGTCCAATTTGAATCCTGAAACTTGTTTAATCTAAGCACTGTGGGCAGTGTCTGCATCTAATAATGGAATCCAATTCAACTTTCTGCCATCAGGTCCTTTAACCCGTAGATTATATACAATAATTTCATTTATTAAAGGGGAATTTCGCAAAATTAAGAAAGTGAGATTTCAAGGGCTTAAAGCGAACGATCTTCATCGTTAAAAAGTCTATGATAATACAGTGTTTAATATTTAAAAAAAATTAAGCTTTTAGGGCGCTTCGCACCCCTTTCCTATTAACAATTTTAGCTTTTAACTGTTGGCCATTATTAATCATTCTCAAACTTGGGCATATTTTTTATGCGAACTAAAGTATTTAAAAAAATGACGAAATCTTTTCCTTGATTTATTTTTAATTTTGATGGTCCATAAACTTTCTCTGGGGTCGATGATGTGAGGTCCTGAAAACATATTTTGAACTCAATCGGTTCAGTCATTTTGACGTTTACTGGACACAGACAGACAAACAGACCAGCAACGTATAGATATCCTGTTTATCCTAAACCTATTTTAATTTCTAACTCCTGATACTTGGAGGGGCGGGGCTATTTTTCTAGATAAGGTTTCTTAAAAAATTTTAGGCTGGCTCAAAAACTAGTTTGTTGTTTTAATTTTGTCCTCTTTTCTGCAGGAAATAATATTTTTACCCTCGTATTAATTAAAACTTTTCTAAAATCAGGATTGAACGAACGTTCTTTTCTTCATGGATGAAAGTTTTTCATTCCTAAGATGGATTGAACCCGGAGAAATATTGAACCGTGTAGCTCCGTGTGTAAACCCAGACCCGGAGAGATAGAACCCAGCCTTGTAGAAAATAGCGTAAACTAATTAAATTCAACATTCAGAACAAAATATTTGAATCCCATAATTAGATTAGGGGGATACGTTTCTATCTAAATCAAAGTTTTTTGGAATAAAAATTAATTTCTTTTAATTGATAAAAAAATAGGTTGTTTTTTACTTCAACCTGCACAATTCGCTACATTACATCTTACATTATTTTTGCGATTCACGTCCCTTCTCTAGCAACAATTTCAGTTTTTAACTATAGCTTTTCAACCATTTTTCCATCCTTCAACAAGAAACAACTTTTTTTGTTTAACTAGGGGGATTTTTAAAAATCATAAAGTCGACATTTTTAAGATAAAATTTTTCAATTTCGACTTACAATAAACCTTCCCTTAATTAGGTTATGTGAGTTGCCACACAAATCGGTTCAACCGTTTCGAAGTTTATTCGACACAAACAAGCAGATAGACAAGCCAAATTTATATTGTTATACATAATGTAATATTTTTTTACTGAATTAATTTTTGTACGTAATGGGTTATGAGAATTTGGAAAAAAGTTTTTAAATCAAAAACCAGGAAAAAGCTTAAAATCTATTGAATTGTCGTTTGCAAAAACGTTGTGTTTTTAATCTTTCAACTTCTAATTTATATCGGAATATTTGGAACGGACAAATTTAGATTTTTCAGAATGTCGTCTTAGAAAAAATATCTTTTCTCTAGATTATAAATTGAGACTAAGATTTCTATTTTTCAGGGGAGGGACCAGGGGCTCAGTTCCCACTCCCCTTTATACCCCCTTTCTGGGGGTCTTTTATTCTTCGTTTGCTAAAGTTTCGGGTGATTCTGTGACAATACATATTCTGTTCAGTAATATTTCAACATGAACAGGGTTACCCACAAAGGAAGATTCTTTAATGCCGACCTAAAGCTCTTCAAACATAACGATCTGAGGGCTGAACTATTCTAGGCATTTATTGAGTTTATTTGTCAAAGAAATAAATTAGTTAACAGCTGTAGGGAACCTTGAATTTAAATTCTTGACAGTCGTCTCTGAAGTAACAACCGTCCTCCGTAGTGTACAGGGTGTCCCAAAAAAAATGGGAATTCAGTGACAAATTCGATATCGTCTTTGTTATGAATTAGCATTGTAATACCTAATTTCAAAAGCCATAATATTATTATGTCTGCTAGAGTTTATTCTAAAAATAGGGTAAAAGACTGCAAAGATGTGTCTATAATGTCTCCGCAAGATGAACAGTGAAGACGGACAAGAAGTTTAAAATGTTTGTATACTGCAATTTTCTTGTTTTTCTAAGTACAACCGTATGCAGTCAAAACATAAACAAACAAAATGTGAACATAGCAGACGAAACTCTTACAGATTATAGCTTTCTCAGTAGGTATCACTATACCGAATCAAAGTATTAACTGAAAAGACGATGTCGAATTCGTCACTGAATTCCCATGTTTATTGGGACACCCTGTAGCATAACATCGGTTAAACAGAATGTTTACAATTTCGGAATAATTTTGAACTTTACTAAAGATATTGCTTAAAGTAGAAAAATCGAAAAAAGCAAGATATAAAATACGAGTTTTAATTATAAACGTATTTATTTCAATTATCAAATTTATTGAAGAACATATCTGTAACATATAAAACATAAATAATACATCAAATAAGTAAAAATAAATAAATAATAAAACACCTTTGAACAGAAATTTGCCAGAATTTCAATTAGGTTAACAATTTTAAGCAAACGATCATATTGTACAGAAATCTATTGTCCAGAATTTTTTAGGTAGCACAATTTTCCAGCTAGAGGAAAAGACGGGGCAGTGTTTTTTTTTCATTTTTTTTTTTTTGGGGGGGGGGGTCAAAATTGAGCTCATTTTTCTAAATCCCAACTCTGTTTTCTCTTAGTTTCAGGAAAGAAAATTTTAACCAGAAAAATATTTCTGTCAAGTTAGTTTTGTTTTGGGATAGTTTACGACTGTGAAATTCTTTAATTTGAGGATTTTGTGAAAATTTTATCAATATTCCGGTAGCAATAGTCACGGAGAGGATCAAACCTAACGGAATGAGACGCTGATCCGAGAAGTTGATGATAATGCCTGCTAGTGATGTGATACTGGTTAACATTACAAATATTATGACTGTTTTCATTTCTACAATATTCCTAATTGAGAGGGCTTTCTCTTGGATGACTCTGAAATTTACCAAATAAAGTCATAAAGATATATTATACATGGAGCAGATGACTTCATCTTTCATGGATATGTAATTTAAAGATTTAGTAATATCTTAGAACATGTTCACAGTTCCGGGCATTTTTGATAATTAAACAAATAAAAAGCCATAGATGCATTTGTACTTAAGAAAGAGTGACAAGGCGTTTACTGCAATTTGTCTTCAAGGGGGTGGTGAGGGGAGGGGTTCAGAGGGAGGGCCTGATTTTGCCAAAGTTTTAAATTGACATGTCAGATATAGATATCCTGAATTAAAGGAATGGAGTCTTTGCCACGAAATCAGAGTTTCTAATCCCTATATCTTTGCAACCAAATATCGTAGACCTTAGATATTTCTAACTATGAATTCTATTAGATAAAATAAGTTTGAAAAATTAAAGGTTTAAACTATTAGGTTGCTAAGATATAAGGATTAGACAATTTGAGCTTGTGGCAAAGACTCAACTCCTTAGTTCCGGAAAGTCTGTTTTATTTGGTTCCTGATTGAGTGCAGCTTGTCGAGATACTTCTTCCCGTAGATGTGTAGACCCCCTGTAATGACAAGGCACAAGACGGAGACGATTGAGACGACGATAAGCTGAGAGTTAGGCGGAGGAGTGGATTTAAGCCCAGTGTAGAAACTCACTTGGTGCGATACTGATCCTTAAATAAATCAAATTATGTAATTTTTCAAATCATATTTTGATAGAATATGATAAGTCATGGCAGCCATAATCTGTTCTTCCATTTTTATTCCTTTGAGTGCCCTCACCTTCAGTGATTTCTCTGCTCAGTGGAAACCCTGTGATAAGAAGGTTGATTAGAAGAAGAAATGAAAGAATTCGTGAGGACAACTGCTCTGGTTCCAACCTCACCATCTCATCAAACTGGACATATCACATATTTCATTTAAGCTTTAAAGAGACTGTTGGCGGTATTTTATCATAAAATCTCACCCTAAATGAAGGATCTAGCTTACCTGGACAATCATGAGGAACCTGGAGAAGGAGATGGCAATGGATACGCACAAGGAAAGATTGACAGTGAAGTAAAATAGAGTTTCAATCAGAAGGGCTAGTCCGTAGGGCACTGAGATGACAGAACCCAGAATAGTTCCAAAACACTATAAAATAATTCTTTTAAAGGGACTGTGGACAAAATTTCAAGTGACCCTGCATATACATGTTTAAAAGCTTTGTCTGATCAAGAGTAAATCAAATCTCTATGCTTTCCTCTTTAAAACTGATTTTTCTTTCAATTGTGGTTTATTTGCTTAGTTCTATTTCAGAAAACATTAGATGAATTGTCAGAATTAAACACTTTTTAAACTAAAAATTGTGAAATGTTTCCCATCATTTAAGGATCAAGGTTTACAGTTGGAAATCAGGAACGGAGGTTCACTTGATATAACAACAGCAGTCCCGGTCCCGCCTTTAACTCAGTTTGTAAAAAATGACAAAAATGTTAGTGATTTAATCTGGTATTAGTTTTACCGTAATTGAGACAAAACTGTTGTAGATATCCGCAAGACAGCAGTTGAGAAGGAGGATGATGTTAACCTTGATGTAGGGGAGGGAGTTCCTATACCCTCTGATTGTATATGTGAAATAGTTGGCAACTACAAGTATGATCACCATGTAGGAAAAGACAAACAAATTTAAATTTTCGAAAACCTTGCTTTGAGCATTTGTTACATTTCTCTCGGCATTCCGTAGGAAAGATTGATTATTAAAAGGTGGCATGATAGATAGACTACCAAGGATTATTTTAGAATAAAAAAGTTAAGAATCAAAACAATCCTTGTACTACTTAACCTCAGGATAGATGAACCTCAAATGGCCTCCTCTTTGAAGTGGAGGTCCGTGTAAATTCACAATTTGAGAGTAAAAAGAGGAAACCTGTCTGTGGGCATGGTGAATTGAGGCTCAAGCCAATGTAAGTATAGAGGAGGGTGTACACACCATTTATTGGCTCAATATCCGCTGTATTGCGTGGTTCGTGAAGAAGAATCAGTATAATCAATAAAGATACACCGTGACTATTCTCTTTTAATCACAAAAACCTGAAGGGAGAGTCCGGCAAGACACGGTAGTTTCGATTATAAGAGTTAATTTTTATTTCTCAACCTGTTCCTAAACAACTAAATAGTTTACTGTAAAATTTTTCGTCGTCATCACTGTATAGTTTTAAAAAAATCGATTCTCAAAATCATCCCTCCAAAATTGACAATCTATGAGAATTTTTAAGATTGAATTTGCGCTCTTTCAGAATAAATATGCACATTAAAATCGTCTGATAGGTCTGAAATAAATCCTAAAATTCTCTCTACAATAATGCATTCTCAGCTCGTAGCCAGACACTCCCTTTAATTATGAAACTATGAGGACGAATCCCCGACACAGGGATGGGATACTGGCAGATTTAGAGAGTCCGGAGGAAAATAAAATCTCGGGGTTTTAAGTAATGATCTCATGGTTTGAAGTAATGATCCCAGAGTTTGAATTAATGATCACAAGGTTTGAAGTAATGATTCCAGAGTTTGAACTAATGAACTCAAGGTTTGAGTAATGATATCATGGTTTGAAGCAATGTTCTCAGGGTTTGGAGTAATGATCCATGGTTTGAAGTAATGATCCCAGAGTTTGAAGTAATGATCTCAAGGTTTGAAGTAATGTTCACAAGGTTTGAAGTAATGATTCCAGAGTTTAAACTAATGATCGTAAGGTTTGAGTAATCAAATCATGGTTTGAAGCAATGTTCTCAGGGTTTGGAGTAATGATCCATGGTTTGAAGTAATGATCTCAGGGTTTAAAGTAATGAGCCCAGAATTTGAAGTAATGATCTCAAGGTTTGGAGTAATGATCTTATGGTTTGGAGTAGTGTTCTCAGGGTTTGAAGTAATGATCTCATGATTTGGAGTAATGATCTCGTAGTTTGGAGTAATTTTCTCAGGGTTTGAAGTAATGCTCTCGTGGTTTGGATTAATGTACTCAGGGTTTGAAGTAATTTTCTCAAGGTTTGAAGTAATGATCTCAGAGTTTGAAGTAATGATCTCAGAGTTTGAAATAATGATTTCAAAGTGTGAAGTAATGATTTCAGATATTAAAGTAATGATCTTATGGTTTGAAGTAATGATCTCGTAGTTTGGAGTGATTTTCTCAGGGTTTGAAGTAATGATCTCGGAGTTTAAATTTATGATCCCATGGTTTGGAGTAATGATCTTATGGTTTGGAGTAATGTTCTCAGGGCTTGGAGTAATGTTCTCAAGCCTTGAAGTAATGATCTCAAGGTCTGAAGTAAGGATCTCAAGGTTTGAAGTAATGATCTCAAGGTTTGAAGTAATGATCTTATGGTTTGGAGTAGTGTTCTTAGGGTTTGAAGTAATGATCTCATAGTTTTGAGTAATGATCACAGGTTTGAAGTAATGATCTCGGAGTTTAAAGTTATGATCTCATGGTTGGGAGTAATGTTCTCAGGGTTTGGAGTAATGCCTTGAAGTAATGATCTCAAGGTCTGAAGTAATGATCTCAAGGTTTGAAGTAATGTTCTCAAGGTTTGAAGTAATAATCTCATGGTTTGGAGTAATGATCTCGGAGTTTAAAGTTATGATCTCATGGTTTGGAGTAATGATCTCAGGGTTTCAAGTAATGATCCCAGAGTTTGAAGTAATGATCTAAAAGTTTTGACGTAATTCGTTCGCTTTGTTCGCGAAATTTCGTTTTAATCTGTTTCGCAAAAATATGCGAAATTTGCGCGAAATAAGAAATGCGAAAATTTGGCGGAAAAAATCCTCTTGATAAAACATTTATTAAATAAAGAAAGAGAAATTATTAATTATGATAAAATGAAACTTCTAATGCTGAGCTCAGGATATAGCATTCAAACAGCTATGCTAGCTATATCCTTTTCCTATTCTAAATAGAAGAAAATATTATTTGTAACAATATTGTACATTTACATATACATGTTTTTTATTATTTGACAATTTTGTAAAAAAAGATATTTAGCAATAAATAATAATAATAAGCTCTCAGAGCAGAGAATTCAACAAGTTTTTGCGCAATTAATTGTTGCAGCTACAACACTTTTCGAATTCTGCTTACTAATATTCAGAACTCTCCTTCAAATCAAAATCTATTATCGACAATATTTAAACAATGAAAAAAAAGTTAGATTAAAAAATGCAAGTTTATAATTCATCCAGAACAAACAGCATAAAGTTGGTTATGGAATACATTTTTTTCAAAATTATTTTTTTTTACAATTCATTTATTTCATCAAGAGTTTATTCAGGGATAAAATATTTGGTTATCATCCACATGAAACAATATTAAGGATTGCAGTGGGAAGATAATATCCTTCAGGAGTTCTTCGTCCAGCGCGCCTCTGGCTCAAATGTATCTCAGAGATTTCAACGGAACCAAAACTAAAACAGAGATTCATAGAGGGGTGTGCCCCTGGTTATCCAATATCCATGCCAAATAAACGTTTTATAAAAGTAAAATAAAATTTAGAGATGTTTGTGTCGCCTTTTAGAGTGTAATTTTAAACAAGCGTCTTGAAATATGTTGCGCTTATATCGCGCTTCAGATAATAATTGCACGCAAACCTGGAGCAACACATCCAGACTGTAAAAACACATCCAGACTGTAAAAACACATCCAGACTGTAAAAACACATCCAGACTGTAAAACCCCTGTTTAAAGCAGAAAATATCAGCAATACCTTGTATTTCCGTACAACTCCAGGATCTGCCGACTGTCAAAAGTTTCTCTCGCCGATTTTCCAGCAGGTTCATTGACATCACCAACATCGTTTTTGTCCTTCCTGATTTCATCAAATAAAAACATTAATTCACAATTGTTTACAAATACCCTTATTTGTACTTAAATTTATAAAAATTCAAAAAATTAAATTTTTCTCCATTTTCCTCATATTTACCTGAAGAGTGTATTCATTAAAGTAACATGAAACTTTATCCTCTCATATTCTCTCTTCATCAGACCAGACTCAACAAACCTTGGCAGAAAAACAGTTTTCTTAAAATTTGTTATTAAATTCAAAATTGTAACGCGGGACTTATAAAACTGTGGAATAGGAAGACGACTGTTAGGCGCAAACTGATTTTAAATAGTCCAAAAACATAGCAATTGTGCAGTCTGAGATGATTTTCTACCAACTTTATAATAACATAAAATAAGACAAAAGACAAAGTTAGACTAGCTCTTCACATAAGATTGTTTAAATGTCGTCATAAGACAGAAAAGAAAACGATTGAAGACATCTTTTAGTTAACATGTTTTGTCTGGCTAAAATTGTTGCACCATGAAATAAAAATGAGCACACAATTTGAAAAAAAGAAAAATCTCAGAACCGTATGGATCCTCTTAGTACCTCTAATGTTTAGAAAACGATGTACCTATCAATAATTTTCTCTGCTACATCCTGGAGCTGATCAGCTTGACCAACCTTGGCATAAAGTACATCAACCTCGCTAGGATCATCATTCATGATCTCCAACCCACTGATCTCAACCTAAACATGATCATAATTAAGTACATCGAACTCACTAGGATAATGATTCATGATCTCCAACCCAATGATCTCAACCTATTCATGATCATAATTAAGTACAACCTCCTCACTAAGATCATCATTCATGATCTCCAGCACATTGATCTCAACCTATTCATGATCATAATTAAGTACATCCTTCTCACTAAGGTCATGATCTACAACCCAATGAACTCAACCTATTCAGGATCATAATAGAGTAGATCTACCTCACTAGGATCATCATTCATAATATCTAATCAACTGAACTCAACCTATTCATGATCATAATAGAGTACATCGAACTCACTAAGATCATCATTTATGATATCTAACCCACTGAACTCAACCTAATCATGATCATAATTGAGTAGATCCTTCTTACTAAGTAATCATAAATGCAGAAGAGATTTTAGAAATTTGCCGATTTAAATGTCAAAAATGTTTGGTTATTAAGCTATACAACGTATATTTATCATAGCCTGTATGGTTCCAATTTATGAAATTTGTTTAGTGAAAACACTCACAAATTGTACAGTTCTTGGAATACTGCCATTCTTATTGCATCTGGTTTGCCTTGACTCAGGAATTTTTCAAGGTGGGGGGGCTNGGGGGGGGACATATGTTAACAAGCAAAGATAAAGGGGCAAGCCCCAGACGAATGGTTTTTTGACTTGAACACCTCGTAAAGGGTCTAAATTAATGACTAAAAAACTTTATTTTTAACCTATCACACATTATAGTTTATTAAAATAGATATTTTGCCTGTTTTGCATTATGGTTTCTTTCCTTTAAGTTCTAATATTGCTTTTTGCATAAAAACATAAACCTGGAGGTATAATGATGTCATAGTCATGCTGATACACCATTAAACTCTGATCAGAATAGATATTTTTTTTTTCATTTTTTGTCTCCGATTAAGTGCCCCCCCTCCCAGTCGGGGGGAAAGTGTGGGGGGAACGTGCCCCTCTGTACCCCTACGGGCCTGGATAATTTCTGAACAAATTCATTTAAAAATTATGCAGTGTAGCCGATTTGTATAATTTTGTGAATTTATCTACAAAATATGACCAAAGAACAAAATTATATTTCAAGTGAAACCTATGTTTAGATAAATTGTCCTTGAGCAAGTCGCTAGTAAAGTCAAACATGGTAAAAATGCGTGGATAATTGCACTGTTAAAAGATTTATTATTTATCCAGTCAGATCAAAATGTTTTAGACGGTTTTAATTATGTTCAAAAAGTTAAAATTATTGACGATATATGTAAAAACTAACTCTGTTTTTATTGTTCTTGAACATATATTAAATCTATATTTATATATGTATATACTTATTCCCCGTTGCTTTTAAACTGTAATATTATAATTGTTTACGAATAATTAAATTAAATAAATAAATAAACAACAAACCTGGAACGGGGTTTCCCCTTGTAGCGGGAGAATCAGGGTTTCCTTACAATCCTAATTTAAAATAACAATAACAATAACAAATACAATAACAATAACAATAACAATAACAATAACAATAACAATAACAATAACAATAACAATAACAATAAAAAATAACAAAATGACAAAATGACAAAATGACAAAATGACAAAATAACAAAATAACAAAAAAACAAAATAACAAAATAACAAAATAACAATAACAATAGCAATAACAATTACAATAACAATAACAATAAAAAATAACAAAATAACAAAATAACAAAATAAGAAAATAACAAAAACAATAACAATCACAATCACATTAACAATAAATAAATAAATAAATAAATAACAATATCAATAACAATAACAATGTAAAGAATAATACAGAAATTTCAATTTACAAACGAAAATGGAGAGACGACGTGATTTTTTTCACGAATGGAAACCTTTAAACATTTAGATGTTTTTCAGAAAATATACTTGGTTGATATCTACGTACCGCTGATTTCATTTAATAAAACTGAGAATTGTTTCATGTAAAAGCTTTTCATATGAATGAACTTACATTTGTATGAAAAAATAGAATTGTGTATAAGTATAAATCAATATTTTAGAAAATAAAATAGAGAGGAATAAATTTACTCGTAAATAAACAAATTGACTTAAAAATTTATGATATTTTAGAAAAACAATATTTTCTGCATAATAAAGCTCTTCGCTAATATATAAATATTTGTATATGTATATATATATGTTAGCCAAACGGCTGGACTAAATAGGCTGAACTTAAAGTCTAAAAAATCGAAATGATTTTTTTCAACCATCAAATTATTTAAAATTTTTTTTTTTTTTCAATTGTTTCTAAAATTCCACGGGGAACGCCGGGCACTTGAGCTAGTTAAAAATAATCTATATAATAAAACAAGACATTCATATGTTGCATAGAGTTGGCCAAACGGCTGGACCGATTGGGCTGACATTTTTTTGTGGACACTTATGGTGGCCGGGGAGTGTTATAGGCTAAAAAAATATTTTTCACGGGCAACACCGGGCCCTTAAGCTAGTTCTTTATATAATAAAAAAAATATAACTAGAAGGTATTTTGTTGTCAATTGAACTGCCAGTTTCTTAAAAAAAGCTGAAAGGTTGAAGTTTTCCGGGTTGAATGAAGTCATCGATTGTCAAGATACGAAAATATATTTTTTTAATTATTTAGGCAAAATATAAAATACTAGGCTTTTAGGGCGCTTCGCGCCCATTTTCTATTTAAATTGTGAACATGTTCTTTTTGTTTACATTTTAAAACAAAGAAGAAAATTTTTTTGCGGATTTTTAAAAAAAAATTCGCGGATTTTCAAGAATTGAAATTTTTTTACAAAATTAAAAACCGACTTTAAAACGCTTTTTAAATTTTTTTTATCATTCATAAACCTTCCTTGTGGTCACGTGATGTCACACAAAAAAATTTGGGCCCGATCGGTTCAGCCTTTTTGACGTTTATTGGATACAAACAAACAAACAGACAGACAAACCAAATTTATATATAGATGACAAAACATATCATCGATCAAACCAGTCATGAAATGTCTTGAAAAGTGTCCTAACATATTCCAAAAAGAAATATTTTTATGTAGAATGACCCGAAGGGGGTTGAAAGATGAATAGCTCCAACCTGTAAAATATCTCTGGCTAGACAGCGTTCACGTTCATCAAATAAGGCCATAGTTCCAATTGTTAAATGCAGAAGTGCGCCACCCCACTCAGAGATCCTATATCTAGGTTCTCATCGTAGCTGTTCTCTTGTCCTCTTTCTTCACCTCCAGGATGGCACCGCTAGTCTTTATACTATTGTGATCGTTATCTTGTCCATTGTTTTCATATCTCTTTTTTGCCTTATCTCTAGCGGTGTCCTTTTTCCAGATATATGCCAAGAAGATCCTGAAGGCCTTCCTGTGTTATCACTGTATTATTGCTATATTCTTCTGGATCCTCTTTCCCTGGATCCTTCTCTTCTCTCTTTCTCTTCTGTGGCCGGTCCTGTGCGCGTTCGAGCTCCTTCTGCTCGTACCAGACCAGGCGGCTCCTCTCCTCCTTACTCCCTGTGTTCCTATCCTAGAAGTGGCCGGGTTACCTTTGCCTGGGCAGGACTAGGAGGACTCTCTCGACCGGAGCAGATACCAGAGGTGTGTAACTTGCGTGGTGGCAGCGTGTCTAAATAATTACATTCATGAACAATATATAGTGGAGTGCTGGGGTCGTCTTTTCATCTAATAATAAATACCGCTAAGGAATGTGCAATTTGTTCAGTGTCCAAGATGTGTAACAATTACAATTTACAAAATCAACAGCGGTACTTCTAATTACACAAAAAAGACGTGTTTCGTTCCGATGTAAAATTATTAGATAAAATTATATGTTGACTGAGTGTAAATTGTCAATGTAAAGGTCTGAACAAATCGTAGTAAGCTTGCATATTTCTCAGTTCAGTTTCACAAGAATAAGAAGATTAAATAATATTTTTTTCCCCAGACATCACGTTCCATAAATTTTTCTTAACTTGCACAAAAATCGAAATAAAAAACAAACAAAAACTTTGTACCAGTATTAATATCTTAATTCATCATTCGATCACTTTAGGACAACTCAGAATTTAAAAAGCAAAAAAACTAAGGGACTGTAGTCCTAATTTAAAGTAACTCTCCATTTATGAAGTGGCAAGTCTCATTCACAACAACACTCTCAACAGCTTTTTATGATCTTTTTGATCAGAACTAAACACTTTTAGTCTTTCAAAGCTAGAAAAACAACAATTTTTTTCCACAATTTTGAAGTGAAGTGAAGGTTACAAGGGCCCCGTTGTAAATGGACTTACCCCTCTTTTAAAGGTAAAGTCACATGAAAGTACGACAATCTCTTAAAGACCAAAAAATGGAATCCTTGATAAGTCAGAAAAGGAAAGATATGCCTTAACTTAAGATTATGTTTTTACCTGAAAAATTGATTCTTCTACACCTCTGGATCCAGAACAGTTATCTAATACCTTTAAAAATAATGGATAATCATAATAATAACGATGATGATAGTGATGAAAATATTGACAAGTATATAATATTAACAATTGATGATCATTATGATAATGATCATGATGATAATGATGATTATGATGATGATAACGCAAATGATAAGAATTTTGATAATAATGATAGTGATGATATTATTGATAATTATGAGAACACAGACAATAATGATTATAATTACGTAATCGCAAACTCATATTTGATCTTATCTCATGTTTCTCGATTGGAGTAAATACCTCTTTCTTGAATTTGCTGAAAGTTTGCTGAAGATTGTTGGAGTTGACCGGGAGAGAAAGAAAATGGGTAAAAGGCTGTTTATGTCGGGATGACATAATCATCTTATCAATTCTTAAAAATAAAAAGTATTTGTTGAAAAATAAAAAATAAATTGGTTGTTTTGTTTATAATCCAACATATAAAGAGTCAGATAGATGGAGGAAAGGATTTCTCAAATAAATTTTAACAAAATTGCGTCTAATAGAATTTCTAAAAAGGAGGTAGTTAATATTCTAGTTTTTAATTGATGCTTTCAAGTTTCCGTGCCACCATTTTTCTTCATCAACATAAAATGTCCGCAGAATTTTCCGGTTTGGGGGATTTCTATGTTCAAAAATTCGACTGGCCGTAAACCTTTTAAGCTCTCTCGCTTCATGTGAGATTAGTGAGATCATGCGAATAATTAGAACCAAATCGGTTCATTTGTTTTAATTTGACGTTTATTGGATACAAATAATCATGCAAACAACCAGACAAGCCAAATAAACATTCCTTGGAGCTTACCTGTTACAGCACCGAACTACTCCATGTCTCTGGGTCCCAGATACAACTACATCTCCTTCTAAACCTTTCCGAGGGATCACAATTCTGGTTCCAGTTTCCTTCTCAAGCCGGATCTAGGTCAAGCATTATTATTATTATCATTATTCTTCAGTCAGCTTTCCCTTCTAGAATGTCATTATTATTTTTAGTATTGTTTATTGTTGATTAATCCTCAGGAACTAAATGTATTTATTATGAGGATGATTTGTTGACTTGAGAGTTGTTGATTGTTCTGTCTGGTTTGTTTGTTCATAATTTTAAATATCTCTTTCAGCAGCTCATGGATTCTTTCTATATTTTCTTTTGAAGATACTCACAGTAGGAGATTCTTTGATGTCTGATGGAATCAAGTTCCATGTTCAGGATACCCTAATATTTATTAATATTTAACTATGATGATGAAAGTAGAATTAAATATGATAATAATAGTGGTAGTAATCAATATTAAAATATAATGAAAAAAATAATAAATAATAATAATATTAATATTACAGAGACTTCATTCTATTATAATTATAAATATTTTTTTAAGTGGTGGTTAATTTTTTAGAATGTTTGTGAAAATAATTTATATTCGCGATTTAGTTTAAAATCTTTTCATAAATGGGGGTTTATAATTTCTTAAACTCATACCATTAAACATTTTTTTTTCATGATTATGACTTTTAAGAGTTTTTTATATCATATAGAGCATATAACCAAGTTTTTGGAATCTCCTAATTCATTTTTACAATCATAAAAAAACTTAAATAAATTATGATACTTATATGGTAATTTAAAATTATATTTTTATGTTCACCCTGTTGGGGAAAAGCATTGCGCTTGCCTCACCTCCCTCTCTTACATACGCCCCTGGCTCTAAAGGTATATTAGCTAAATTTTAAAAAAGTCACATTTTAAAATATTTTTAGTTCTAAATATCTTTAAAATATTTTCTTAATATTCTTGAATATTTTCAACATATTTTATAATTTTCTTAATATTTCATGAGAACACACACATCGTAAATACTAGATTAAATACCTTAATTTGTCCTCCTTTCCCAATAATAAGAGGGAAAAAATTTGACGATACTTGTAAAGATGCTCTAAACCCTCCAGAGAATTCATCAACTACATGCTGAAACAATCAAATTATGACTCGTTATGCCAATAGTATGAATTTTCATGCCAAACCAATTAAATTTTTCCAAAAAATTTGTGCTGCTGAAACAAAGAAAATTACAGGTTAAAACATAAATTTTTTTTGATGAAACAAAAAATTATAAAATAATAATAATAATAATAATATTGGTAGTTCTTTTAAGACGGGAATAACGTTTTGATATAGAACAATGACTGAACAAGACAAAAGAGAAGTCAGGATTCATCTGGCCTGCTGAGCAGAAGGAACAACTGACGGACAGCTATAATATCGGATCCACAAAAAACAGTAGCAAATAACAATCTTTACATTATTCAATATCCAGTTAAAACCAGTTTCTTATTTAAACCAGTTACCTGGAGATCAATTTCCTCTTCATCTCCTTGATTATTAACAAACTCATGATCATCATCTTCATCCTCATTCTCACCAGTATATCCAGTTCTTACAGTATACTCAACCTGGTAGTAGAAATCTTTATTCAATCATCATCTTCATCCTACTTACTCTCATCAGCCTCTCTTCTCATCCTCTTCATCCATATCATCCTCCTTATCCTGCTCATCCTACTCATCCTTATCATCCTACTCATCCTACTCATCCGACTCATCCTACTCATCCTACTCATCCTCTTCCTTCCCAAACTCATATTTTTATCTACCTACCTTCTGTATCATAATGAAAATATAGATACGATATTTAAGGGACTATAGACGTAATTTCAAGTATCCCTCCATTTATAGAGTAGCATTCAACACAGTCCTTTATACCTGTATCTGACAATAAGAATGATAATTGTCACCTTTCTCGTGAAGTGTTAAATTCCAACATTTTTTTCTAATTATCTCTGCTGCATAAATCCGCAGGTAAGTTTATCATAGAAACCATAGTTAAAAATGATAAATTTTCAGCTTTAAATATAAGGATATATCAATCATTCACGATCAGACCAAGGGTACCATGAGGAATCGAGCATGCCAATCCATAATTACTTCTCAAACCCTTTAAGATAATCATAAACTCAGGTAAAACATGTTTTACACTCACTCAAAGGTTGCTGTATCATTCCAAAATGAGGTTCTTTGCTTTTAAAAATTTAAAATGATATTTATTTAAAATAAAAATAAAATCTAAAATAGATATTTAGTCAATTTCTTAATATCTCCGTCAAACTTGAGGGTAAAAAAGTAATAAAACTATGTTAGGAAAATTCCTAGATTAACCCGTCGTTTATTGGGTCTAACTGGTATACTGCATTTATTTACAAGTACTGTGTAAACATGCCGCGTGATTCAAAGACGTTAAAAAGTAATTGCAAATTTCAAGTGACCCTCCATTTAAAGAGGGCCTTGCCCGATTCACAACAGATCCCAGCAAACCTTTTATCTGATCTAGACTCAACAGTATCCAGCAAACCTTTTATCTGATCTACACTCAACAGTACCCAGCAAACCTTTTATCAGATATATTCTGTGGAAGATATCGTCGTCTTTCCAGCTTGAAAAGCGTTCAATTCTCACATTTTTCTTCATTGTTCTGTAGCAAAAAAAGAAATCCGAGATTCATTATTATAGAGAAACCACAATAGTAAAAAAAAACATTTATAAGGAGAAATATGGATGTTTCATTTATTCTTGTTGAGACAAAGCTTTGATGAGTCAGACAAGCCATTCTTTAATGGGAATGAAAAGGAAAAATGAAATGGGGTATAGGCTAAAACCTGAGAATCTCAGGAGCGAGTTCTATCTGATGTTCCTATCTCGAGAAATTGATATAAAACTGTGTCAAAATTATACCAAAACGTTATAAATGCAAGATTTTATATAATATTCGTAATAATAAACAGATAAAATTCAACAAATACGCAACCAATCTGAAAACGACAATATCCCGGAGGAGCCTGAGAAACTCAGGTTTGCTCCTGTAATTATTGGTATTTAATATTTTTTATTTTTAATAGATATAATTAATAATATTATTTACACGTCCGGATTATGGGACCAGAACTCCAACTAATGACAGAGCAGTATTATTGCCACGTGTCTCCGTCTGTATCAAGTGACCAGTATACTGCATTGCTATTGAAGGGAGTTCTGATCACATGACACGGACGTATATCTTACATATATATACGTTTTGGTATAATTTTGACACAGTTTTATGCCAATTTCTCGAGACAGGAACATCAGATAGATGTTTTATAGGTCTCGATCAACTCCTGAGATTATACCCCCTTTCATTTTTCCTTTACAGTCCCTTTAAGTGGAAGGTTTCTTAAAATTACGTTTACAGTCCCTTTAATAAATTAGTTCACATCTTTTCTTGTGACAGCCAGTCCAGTACAATAATGGGACCTAACAACTACAACTAACCTGATTATTCTTTCTGTAGCACCTCCCCCCGACCCACACTACACTAGGTTTCAAAATATCCATCTTTTCTGAAACCAGAATTATTTATGGCAAAGAGAGTAATAATGGTATTATCAAATTCAAACAAAAACTCTCTAGATAATTTCTTCTCTAAAAGACGAAAGCAATGACACTCTCTTTGTGCCTCTTACGAGCCTTAATAACTTCCTAGAAAAGAATCAACATTTGGAGCCGCAATAATAAGTGATTTTTTATAAACATTTATTTCACTCATATAATTAAAACACACCGGTACATTTAAGACACTAATAAAAATATATAATGATCAATTGTAAATTTTGAACAACAGTAAAAGAAATATAAACTGAATGAATGAAAGAAAATTTAAGAAAGAATAACTTAAATATAAATCATAAATACATAAAATATATATATTATATATGCACAAGAATATTAAAAATAAAATAATTATCTCAATATCAAATTTGGAAATTTACTTTTTTTTTACCTTTTAGGCTTTTAAATGATTGTTTGAGTGGATATGATTTGTGTGCTTGAGAATCCTACAAGCTATTGTAAATAATATAAAATTTGTTTTGAATAACAAACAGCTTAAATTCTGAAGAACAAAAACATAGGATTATTAATACAAAGGGACTGTAACCATAAATTCAATTGACCCTGCATTAGAGTGACATGTCTAATTCACAATGGTGCCCTTTAAACCTTTGTCTGATCATCGACAACAGAGATATCCATATTTTTAAAGCAAAAAATTGAGTGTACTCCGTGCGAATTAATAACATGGTTCCCGAAGTTACTTAATTTTTAGCTAGAAACATATGGATATCTCCGTCATCTTGATCAGCCAAACGTCTAAAGATTACCGTTGTGAATCGGACAGTCCAATCTACAGGTCAGGGTAACTTTAACTTACGTCTACAGTCCCTTTAAACCTTCATGAGAGATATTTGAGACAATTTTCACACTCATGATTCCATTTCAAGTCTATATCTTTTAATGATGATATTTTTTCTTAAACCTACGTTAATTGGTATGGCAAGATTTGAATGACAACATAAAGAAATTGAGAAACTGAAATAGGGTCTGAAAATGAAGATATCGATCATGTGAATAAACTAAAACCAAGACTTAAAATTGATGGAAAAAGAATCAAGAGTTTTTTAATGTGATCTTTTGATGGAAGAGTGCCAGACAATTCAAATCAGAATCTATCATCATCTTAAAGTTGTTTTTGTTAAAATTTGACAAATAACATCGTTTTTTAAATGATGATAGATCTAAAAGATATTTCAATAATTATTTCTGGCACTCTGAAAAATTTCAATAAAATAAAACAAACAATCCCTTACAAAAAAACTATTGGAAAATTGTTAACGTAAACAATCTGAAGGATCAAAATTTCAAGACTGATTAAAGATGGATCTAAGTATAGAATATAATCTCTGGTATTTGTCCGTCCTCCACACTAGTTCCATTATTGTTCCCAGCTGCATAGCTGAACTGGAACGTTACTTTCCCTCCGTTGTAACAATCTAGGGTCACCTAGGAACATAGTAGTGGTGCTGAGGTCATAGTATTTGTGTTGAGGTCATTTTTTGGTGTTGAAGTCATTGTATTGGTAATGAGGTCATTGTTTTGGTGTAGAGGTTATTGTATTGGTGTTGAAGTCATTTTATTTGTGTTGAGGTAATTGTATTGGTGGTGAGGTCAACGTATTGGTATTGAGTATATTGTTTTGGTGTTGAGGTCATGGTGTTGGTGTAGAGGTTATTGTATTGGCGTTGAAGTCTTTTTATTGGTATTGAGGTCATTTTGCTGATAAGTTTGATTAACAGTTACAAATCTCTCATTGTTTGATCATTTTCGGCCGGTAAAAAGGTCAAGGTCATGGTAAATGTCATATGTTTCACCTTTCGAAGACCCTTAGTGCCATAGTGAGAGTCAAGACCCTTGAGGGTTGCAACAGCTGTATAGTTGGTGCTAGGCTGTATCTCTACAGCTTCCTGGACAATACAGAACACACTTAGTATTAGTATTGTGCAGAGTTGAGGTTTTTTTTCTTTTTTAAACTTAAGGGCAATGACTCGATTTCGGGTTAAAGTTATCTTATTTTCCAAACAGTAAAGTGTGCTTTCCTTGAACATAGCTCTGAAAGTAGAGTTAGTCCCATCGCTGGAGAAGGATATTTCGTTAGAACCGAGCTGTCGTCCTGATCCAGTATGCAGGAGTTGAATTGTTACATCGTACTCACTAGGTCCATGGATAGAACCGTAGAGTCCGAACCCAACCACAAAGATCCTCCGGTCCACGATGAACCTGATCTTGTCGGAGGTTCCGCTGTACCCCCACCTGCTCTCTATCTGCTGAAACCTTGAGAAAATATTAAAAATAAAGGACATATGATCAGAATAATCCCCCCCCCTAAAAAAAAATATTTTATACATTAAAAAAAAGTTTCTAACATTTTACTTTTTTCCCCTTCCAACAGGCTAAGAAATAGAAAATACTAAATTAAATATGTTCTTTAAGTAAGAAATGAAACACTTGAAAACCACTCTAGTTTTCTAATCCTTATAATTGAGCAACCTGATGTTCGTAACCTTCGATATTTTGAACTATGAAATCTAATAGGTGAAATATTCAATATTTGAAAAATTAAAGGTTCAAAACCAACAGGTTGCAATGATATGTGGATTATAAAATTAGAGAATGATTTAAGTGTTCAATTTCTTTGTACGTGTTTTGGCGTTTAAGTTTGGAGATAATCCAGATATGCTCTGTACCTGCAAACTGTCTGCTCCTTCCCCATCATAGAACTGCGCGGAACATCCAAGAACCCAACAGGAGGTTTAGGGTTTACGGTGAAGTGAAGAAACAAGGACACCGTCTCTCTAAATAGTTGATTTATCAAAATTGAAACCGGAATACTTAAACTGGGTCAAAAATGGTCTCCTTTCTATCATATGTTTCAATGCTATTTAAACCTTTGGCAATTTTATAATCTTTAAAGAAAACCAGCACAGCAGTTTGATCTGTCTATGAAACACCAGACATTATGGATTTGTCAATAATACTAGACACTGTGAGCTCCAAAATTACATCTGTAAGAATACCAGACATTATGGGCTCCAGAATTACATCTGCAGGAATACCAGACACTATGGGCTCTAGAATTACCAATCAATTTGAAAGAATACCAGCCATTATGGGATCTAGATTTACTCATCTGTAAGAATGAAAGACAATATGTTCTCTAGAATACCTATTTGTAAGAATACCAGACAATATGGTCTCTAGAATTACTTATCTGTAAGAATACCAGACCTTACGGGCTTCAGAATTACTTGTCAATAATACTGTACACTTTGACCTCGAGAATTATATTTGTAGGAATACCAGACATTATGGGCTCCAGAAATACCTATTTGTAAGAATACCAGACATTATGGGTCCTATAATTACCCATCTGTAAGAATAAAAGACAATATGGGCTCTATATTTTTACATATCTGTAAGAATACCAGACATTATGGGCTCTAGAATTACTTATCTGTAAGAAAATGGGATCTAGAATTACTTGTAAGAATACAAGACATTATGGACTCTAGAAGTACCTATTTGTAAGAATACCAGATATTAAGAATACGGGACATTATGGGCTCTAGATTTACCTATCTGTAAGAATACCAGACACTATGGGCTCTATAAATACATATCTTAAAGAATACCAGCCATTTTGGGCTCTAGAATACCTATCTTTAAGAATACTAGACACTATGGGCTCTAGAGTTACCTATCTGAAAGAATACTAAACACTATGGGTCCTAGAATTACCCATCTGTAAGAATGTAAGACAATATGGTCTCTAGAGTACCTATTTGTAAGAATACCAGAAATTATGAGCTCTAGAATTGCTTATCTGTAAAAATGGCAGACATTATGGGCCCTAGATTTACCTATCTGTAAGAATACCAGATTGTGCCGGTCCTTGCGCAAACTCTTCGACCGTCATCAATGGAAACCGAATCTAAAATTCAAATTCAAAATCTAGATAAACAACATGATAATAGGAGGCTAGGACGGCCAATTAAAAAGGGATTTAAAAATAACAATAATGATAATAACAATAATGAGATCTGAACAGAAACTCGACAATGACATGAAACCCCATGATTGTCTTCGGGAGCAAAGTAGGGTCTGTGAAAGGAAAGATGCAGAATGAAATATAATACAACCTGATCTAGAACACGACCCAGCACTCCTCGCTTATACTCGCTAGTCAGTGGAAGAGATTGCCGCTGGCATTCCGCCTCGGACCATCTAAATTAAAATATGCATTTTTTATGTCGTTCATTTTTCGTTTAATTACTAAAGCAAATTTAAGTCACATTTAACATCTAAACTCCCATGACCTCAGGGATCGAAATAAAAACATCCTAATTTAGTTTTTTCAATGTTTGAAAATCTATTAATGGTAAAACGAAAATTTACTAATAGTTTGCTGTTCTTATTACTTTATCCACAAAAGAGTGCGTGCAGCAATTAAACAGCGAATACATGTGAAATTTACAAAAAAAACGAGGGGTGGGAAGTACCTTGTAATCCTAGTTTATACATCAGGCTTGCCTGATAGAAATTGTATCCAAAAAACGTAAAATCGGCCAAAACCAATCGGGACCTCTCAATGTCACCAGGGTTTATAGGCGGTCAGAATTAAACAGTTGGCTTCCATTCAATTTTGAGTTTTCCAACGTATAAAAATCATCCAAAGAAACAGAAAAATCCGCAATATCTAAATTTGGAAACTCATTTTCGTAGCTCTGAAACCTCTACACTACCTTAGAACTGCTGCAAAGATTTTTGCTTCCTTGATCCTCAGAGAATCCCTGTCTAGGACCGCTGACAAGGTTTCCACATCTATGTCAGTGAACCCGTCAGCGGTCAGCGCTTCAGGAGTGTTCTTGTCTATAGTCTCCAGGCAGAGAGCGGCAAGCTGGGGCTCATCAAACAACCGGGCCTAAACAACAACAAAAACGCTTACTTAAAAAAAAATCCAGTTTTAAGGAAAGAAAAATTCGAGACCAAAAAAGAATTATTTTTAAGCTATAAGACTCCAAACCCTTTTAAAAGTCTTTTTTTATACATAAACACAATACAATCAAACCAAAATCTCAATAAACTGTACCTGAGTGAGAAGCATGAACGCATTGTCAGGAGAAAGATTTCGTTTGAGAAAATCCACGCAGTGCTTCTCCAGAGCAGGTACAGCGTACTTCTTAGCTGTATACAAGGTCGTCATTACAGTCTCAGGACCAATCTGAACCTCGTCACTAAAACAGGAAAAATTCTTAATAATAGCTGAGGTTACAGTCAATATCGTGCGGGCCGCGGGACTAAAGCAACTTAGCTTTAATCCGCGCAGACATAAACCAATATACACTGCACAGTGTTATGCTAATTGATTGGTTCTTATCTACGTATATATATAAAGTAGTATAGTAATCTCTGTTGCCAATTATAACTCAGGAACCCCCTTTAACCGATTTGCCTCAAATTTTGGAACTCGTTAGAACCACGGAAATGTTCTTCATATTTTTCATATTTTTATTCAACTACAAAGCACGAGGTAATACAGATAAAAAATCACAATTTACTATGTAGTTTGGACCCGCTTAACCAGAGTAGGTTGTTTTAATTGGTTGGCCCACTATAAACGAATGAGAATTGCAAATAAAAACTATGTACATTGTACATTTTAAACATAAGAATGATGATTCTTAGCCTGGTTAAAAAAATTTAGTGGGTTTAATTTAGCTTCCAGGCAAAGCGTGATTCCCGAGTTAGTGTTTCTGTTTTTGATAAAAATTACAAAAATTATATTTGTTGTCTCTGTTTCTTCTAACTATTTCAAAATTTTTGGAATTTAGAACACAACTCTCAATGCACCTGACAAAGATGTTCCTAAAAAAACCAGTTAACCAAAATTGTGATCAATCCCTTTTACTATAATGCATTCTACCTATAAAGGAATCTAAGAAGTGAGAGAAATGCTGCTGGTTCTACATCTGGAATAGTTATCTCGTCTTCTTGTGTTGCCAGGGTTGAGTTAAACATGGCATCAAACACAGCACTACCAACGGATAGTACAAACTTGTGTGCAGGAATGCGCTGCTCGGACCCACCTCGACCAACCTATGGAGAACAGATTAGAGGAAACTGATCACTGGCCACAAACTTCATAATCTCTTTAGTTTATAATCTCTATTTCTTTGCAACCTGGGCGTGTAAACCTTTAACATTTCAAATTTTTACTAATCATTTGGACAGAATTTATAGTTTGACATCAGGTTGTACAGTTTTTTCGTGAGTTGGAGATTGTTTCCGAACAAATTGAAGGTTTTTAGTTTTATTATTGTTCATTTAAGGATAATTTTTCTTAGACAAAAAATCAATTCTATTAAGCTTAATTTTACAAATATAGGTGTAGAAAATAAAAAAGGGGAGAGCGTGAGTAAACCAAATAATTTATTGATCTGTGTGAGTGATTGAGTAAATGTGTGAGTGATTTGATTAAACAAAATATTTAGTAATTAAATGATGGTGAAAATTAGTAATTAGGTGAGTGATTTAGCAACTGACCTTAAAATGAACGTCGGCCAGAATCTCGTTGTTGAACATGAACGCAAACCGTTCCTGAACCGTTGTCTTGGTGGCCTGCCAGTTGTAAAGTGTTCCAGGACCCTGGTTTACGTTCCTTAAGTAGCCCATGTTCCTTCTCTCCCTCTCACCTCTGAAAAAATGTCAGATTTAAATAATTAACAGAAATATAATTTTCTAGAAAACTCAATTCCCCCTTTTGAAAAAATTATTTGCCCCCCACCCTATGTTGGGCAAGTTTACTAAAGATGTCTGCTTATATCAAAAGGAAAAACGAAATTTTGAGGAAAAAGTGTTAAAAAGTTGGGGAAAATTGCAAGATGGCGTTAAAATATTTCATTCCCCCCCCCCCCCCAAAAAAAAATAACATCTTCAAAAATCATAACCAATTAGAGGGAGGCGATAGGGGAGGGGGGAGGGGGGGTAAGGATTCATAGTAAATAAAAAAATTAAACTAACCTAGGAATAGCTCCTCCTGCTGCCAGATTTCCATTACTAATGCTCTGAGGTTGAGGATGGAATGGCGGAGGAAGAACTGGAGGCTCCTCTGCAACTTCATGATCAAGGGACAAACTGCGGTAGAGCTTTTCCATCCTTTCAGTTCGGTCCATTTCAGCGACCTCCTCCCTACACAATATTTATATACATAATAATCATTAAATCAGGGACCTCTAATTATGAGTGTGTGTGTTTAAGGGGGGGGGGTATTCTAAACTCCCCCTCCCTCCCCTGCACACTTAGACAAAACATGTCTTATTTAAAAGGATGTTCTTCTCAAAACCAGGAGGTAAATCTCATAAGTTAAAAGTCATGATAAATAACGGTTAATCGAAAAGTGCTAACCTCTCAAAGGAGTTTTCAATCTCAGCCTCTAGAACCGCTGCTGCAGCCTCGTTGATGTTGTCCTCCATATCCTGATAACACAGAAAAAATTTCAACCAATGATTTTTAAAAATGCTGGTAAATAAATCTTTCCAATTGTATTATAACTTGTTTTTCTCAAGAAATTGTTTAGAATCTAGTATTTGGTGAGATCCAAACTATTATAAACATCAACAGAGTGTCGACTGTCGATGTAATTGACAGTGACCATCAATTTAAAGTTACATGTCCAATTGCCCAACTACTAACGATGCCCTTAGAACATTTACAAAAAAATGGAAATATTCTTTTTTTTCGATCAGAAAATTAATATTTTTGAATTACTTTTGCTCAATTAAAGTGACTTACGGATTTATAGCAAAGGCAAGGAAGAAAATTGACAGTATTTATCTCTTGAAAACTATACATTTCTAATAATTACTTGGCTGAAGGATACACTTGAGAATTAGGAATGTTAATTATGTAGACAGTCCCTTTAATAAAGGACTAGACTGAACTACCTGATCTGGTTCATCACTAGTAGACAGTCCCTTAAATAAAGGACTAGACTGAACTACCTGATCCGGTTCATCACTATCCGCGCTCTGCTCTCCTCTTAACTCAACACGGTTCCGATTCCGACTATTATTCGCAGATCGAACATACCAAGCCTTAATAAGAATTAAATATTCAAAACTAGAAATAAGAGTTATGTGCGTATCTTTTTACATCAATATTCTCTGTTTCAAAAAACACATTTAATTCATCTAATTCAGCGAAAACCTATAATAAATTTATCCATGAGCAAATGTTCCGTATAAACTTGACGATTTTGGAGGAGAAAAAAAATAGATGATTGAAGAAATTTTTACAATAACTAATGATAAAGCACTAATAGAATGCACTCATGATGAGGATTAAGGACGCATTATTTAGAACTTGTTTTGAGAACGCACAAAAGTGTAAATACAAATCTGATATAAATCTCACAAGCTTAACCTGGAAATTGCTTGGTTCGTTTGCTTCTTCATCCTGGCTGAGATCATACTGAAGGTTTTCTATCGCCTTATCATGCTGCAGGTTTGCTGCTCCTGCTCCTCGGTTATACAACATAGCCTAAAGATAAACAATCTAACACTCAATCAATTCTTAAGTTATAAAAGTCAATTGTTGAACCACTTATTTAATCCTTAAATCACTCATATGAATTAATTTGGTTGTGATGTTTGTTCACCTGATTAATTGGAGGGTCTTGAACCTCATTCGCCGGCTGGTCATCTTGCAGGAAAGACATTCTCCGCTCTCTACCGGAGTTTCTGCTCGTTGAACTCTCCCCAGCCCCAGACATGTTCGACGCCATGGTTGCTAGTCTTCAAGAAGAATTTTTTTATTTAATTGCATGCAGTTTATTTCAAAGCTGGAAAGCCAAGGAAAGAGAAAGTTGAGATAAAAAACTTCAAGAGAATGACATTCCCAAGTTGAGTATACATAAGAAAGGGGGGATAGGGTTTCTGCTCATTTACTCTGCAGACGTATTAGAAAAGTTCTGAACTGGAATTTGGTAAACAAGTCTGTCCTATCAACCTGTCGGAAACTTCAGCCAGTATAAAAATAAAATTAAAAAGAAAGGCAAAAGCCAGAAAACAATAAATGAGGAAAGATGAGAAGTAGAACAGAGGGGGGTGGGGGGAGAAAATCTATCACCTCTATTTAACAGACTGAATCTGAATGCCTGTTCACATTTTTAAATCTGAAAATATCAACGAAATTTTTCTAGAAGTAATAAATAACAGATAAATATAGATCACAGAAAATTTTCAATCTAGGATGAATTTGTTTAGAAGCCCGGATCCCAATCCGTTCTCCTGTTCTCCGTCCTGGTTGTGTAGGATATAATCTGATCTCCGGGTTCAAACCTCAACTCCTCATCCTTCACTCGGAGACCACATTCCTGTCCGCTCTTCACTTCTCCAACCTCGTCCTAGTTGACATGCAATCAATCAATCAATCAATCAATCAATTTATCAATCAATTAATTTATCAATCACTCAATATATCAACCAACCAACCAACCAACCAACCAACCATGTTTATAAGTCATCATTTTATAAATTAATAAAACGGCAGCAAATCAAACCAATAAACTAACCAATAACAAATAATAATGGAAGAACAAACCAAGTCAGAATTTTGAACCAAAGGTTAAAAAGATAAACAATAAAACGGTAAAGCGGTACCTTAAGATGTTTGAGGCTCTCCAGTTCCCCATCGAAAATGATCTGAGAATCTCTGATAATCTTTGTCTTCGAACCTCGCAATATCCGTCCTACAAAATTATCTTTATAATAAAGCTCTTAGCTTATTTATATACATTTTTATAAATGCTTTATCTGACCAACTTGATACTATGAAATTCCACGGACAACACCGGGCACTTTAACTAGTTATCTAACAAATCTATCATTTATTTTATTTTATTTAACTGACCGGAGATAATTTTGCAGCCTGCCACAGGGACTTTATCCTTGTTGACGGTGACCATGAATTCCTGGACCACGTTCCCCCGCCCAATGACATCCTCCACCTCCATCGGAGGCAACTTGTCGCTGATCTCTGTCTTCAGATCATCGATCATATGATAGATAACATTGTAGGATCTAAACAAAATATTTGTCTCTTTTACAAATAACTGAAATAGCAATAAGCTAATATAGCGCTCCGTGTCTTTTTTCCAGCAACAATGTTAAAATTGTATGCTGCTTTTCAAACCACCATTTCCTTGGGGAGGGGCGGATCAAACCATTATCTCAGGGTGGGGGCCATATGTTACTCCTACTTTCTATATGTAAACTCCAGTTCTCCTACTTTCTATTTGTTGACTCCAGTTCTCCTACTTTCTATCTGTAAACTTTAGTTCTCCTACTTTCTATCAGTAAACTACAGTTCTCCTACTTTCTATCTGTAAACTCTAGTTCTCCTACTTTCTATCTGTAAACTCCAGTTCTCCTACTTTCTATTTGTAGACTCAAGTTCTACTACTTTCTATCTTTAAACTCCAGTTCTCCTACTTTCTATTAATAAACTCCACTTCTCCTACATTCTATTTGTAGACTTCAGTTCTCCTACTGTCTATCTGTAAACTCTAGGTCTCCTACTTTCTACATGTTAACTCCAGTTCTTCTACTTTCTATTTGTAAACTCCAGTTCTCCTACTTTCTATCTGTAAACTCCAGTTCACCTACTTTCTATCTGTAAACTCTAGTTCACCTACTTTCTATCTGTAAACTCCAGTTCTCCTACTTTCTATCTTTGATTCGCCCCCTATAATCTTGGGACCAAATCAGTGAAGCCATTTATTGTACAAAATATTTAAAAAAAATAGATGACAAAGCTTGAAAAAATCATCCGTTTTTTTCTAGAAAATACAATTTGAAGAATACGGAACTTGTCTACCTGACAGGAACATTTGAAGAATACGGAACTTGTCTACCTGACAGGAACATTTGAAGAATACGGAACTTGTCTACCTGACGGGAACATTTGAAGAATACGGAACTTGTCTACCTGACAGGAACATTTGAAGAATACGGAACTTGTCTACCTGACGGGAACATTTGAAGAATACGGAACTTGTCTACCTGACGGGAACATTTGAAGAATACGGAACTTGTCTACCTGACGGGAACATTTGAAGAATACGGAACTTGTCTACCTGACAGGAACATTTGAAGAATACGGAACTTGTCTACCTGACAGGAACATTTGAAGAATACGGAACTTGTCTACCTGACAGGAACATTTGAAGAATACGGAACTTGTCTACCTGACAGGAACATTTGAGCTTTTAGCCGCCTTCTCTAGATCAGAAGAGATTGAAGTGTTGAAAGCGTAGATTATAGAATTGAACTGAGTAGCCAACACAATATCAGACTCGTTCACCTTGGAACATGTCAAGATTTTTATTCACACAACATACAAATTGTCAAATATATTTCTCTGAAATGAATAAGTACCTGTCCAACTCCGAAACTGACTATATCAAGATCAACCTGTGGGCAGGTATAGGTCTCAAGACAGGACAGGATTGCCTAGAAACAGAACGGTAGAGTACAATACAAACGTTTTTGCATATATATCTTTTATTAGGGTCAAAATTTTAACTAGTGTAAGAACAGCAAATGTCTAGAATAAAAAATTGAAAACGTTTGCTCGTCTTACACAATGCCAAATTTTGACACTGTAAGAAAATATATGCAAAAAACGAACCAACTGAAGGCCCGTCAATACGAACAATTTGATACAGAACACAAATATATATCACAGTAAAGGATAGTAAAATAAAGAGGTAAAATAAAAGAATATATTTCAGTAGTACAGTACAAGATTGCATTGGTGGGAAATATTATACAAGCGTACATTTCACCAGTATGGAACAAAACTAGATGCAAATCTTGTTTATGATTTAATTAAACATCATACAGATAAAAAGCGATTGAAGAAAAATGAAAATATTAATTTCCAAAATGAAAAATAAAAAACATGACTACCTCTACACTACCGTCAACATCTCCCTTGATAATAACAGAAACTTTAGGATGTGTACTCTCCTCTTCCTGCTCCTTAGGTCTCTGGTTCCAATCCACACCATATCTATCAATCAATCCATTATTAAATCAATAATCAATCAGTTCAATGCGAAATATTAAACTACTTTTCATCCTGCCAAGAAAATAGCAATTTTTTTAATGAGTAGCATTAGGAATGTATTTTTAGTCGTGTTTAAACATGGTGAACTTTTTGGGGTTTAGAAGCCTAACAAAAATCTGAGTATTTTCCCTTAAAACAAATTCAATGCACACAATTTTACTTTGTTTAAATTGTACAAAAACTTACAAAACATATAAACCAAAATAATTCAAATAATCGTTCTTTTGCCTTATATCTTCTCATCAAAGTAAACATTTTGAATAATGCACTAAAAGCAAACAATTTTGAATTTTTATACAGCCCAAAAAAATCTTGATCTTAAAAATGAATCAAAAACAATGCCTATCTCTGTCTGTGATCAATTAATCAATAGCTCACAGGGATGGTAAAATTTTTTACCTAGGTTTGAACCAACCCATCTCTAGTTTCTCTCTTCTGAACTTCTCATACTTCTCCCGATCAGCTTTCCTCTTCTCGTCTATAGATTCCACTTGAAGATCTGCAGTCGTCTACAATAGAAAAAATGAGATTCTTTGGAAAAAAAAAACACATTTTTACAAGTTTTTTTTTGTCCACCGGAAAATTAAGAATCACATTTCCCCGAACACCTATCACAAGATACATATATTGATTATTTAACACATTTAAAGAGTGAAAAAATGCTCTGAGCTAAATAGAATTTTGGAAATAAATTATTCAGAGCTGAAAACTTTAGAATGGGGTATCTTTAATCCCGATCGGTTTATAAATCTGGAGATTAATAACAAGAGAAGAACAAGCATTATTTAATCTCAAGATTGAGAAAAAGAGTGGATCAAGCATTAATCCCAATATTCACCATTCAAAAGTTCCCAGCTCAGGTAAAATTATCTTTTAAGTTTAATCCACAGAATTTTACAATATTAAGCTTTTATTAAATAAGATGGAGGAAAACTTTAATATTTGTTTGACCCGTGGAGCAGAAAATCCCTAGTTGAAAAAGGGGAATTAGTTGGGTCTTTCTTCAGACTTTTCTTTCTTTTCTTCAGATTTTACTTTTTCCATGAAGTTTATTAATGTCTTGATTTAGTCTCCCCCAACTCCCCCTCACCCCATCTGAGGGGGGGAAGAGACCCCCATGAAAATATTTATCCTTTTTCCTACTACCTGCAGTTCTTGTGCTTTCCTCCAGGCAAACACTTCCTTTGCTCGAACTTCGGTCTCAACTCCAATAATCTCAGACCCAGCTGCTGGAACCTAGAGAAATCATTTAAGCTCTAGAATCATTTTTATTATTAAACAGAACTTCTGGGGGACTTTATTCCCCGTATGAAGCCACACCCATCAGTACTTCCCCTCACGATACGTGTACAATCACGCCTGGGGTCGTCTGTTTGTAAACCGCCTAGAGCATGTTTTATTATTGAACCCTGGATGTAAGCGTACCGGGTGTTGGGATTATCGGGAACCTGAATAGACCGAGCCCCAAGGTTGACATCCACCAACCCACCCACCCCTACTTTGGCCATAGGCCCTGGACAAGGGAATATTTCAGGAAACTAATGTTAATAAAGTCAAGACAAACACTTATTTATTTAACAAATAATTTAAGGTTGAAACTGAAATAAAAAATGAAGAAGACAAGAAAATAATATGGCTGACTGTAGGTGTTGAAAAAATAATTCATAAAACTTTTAAAGAGCATGCAAAATGCCGAAATAAATTGAAAAAAATCAATATGTTTAAAATTTCAAAATTGATCGATAGCAAACTAAAACGTCAGAGTTATATATTTTTAAGCTGAAAAATGTGAAGTTCACTTTGAGGCATTTTCACTTTTTTTCCATACTTTCCCTCAATTGATACAATTTCTTCCAAAAACCTAACTCAACAATGTTGTGCTCCTTCGCTCTAAATTTTTAAATTTGAGAAAATAAACCCTTAAACTCAAAAGAAAATATTTATATAAAAAAAATGAAAAACCTGTTCCTTCCAGCCTACCACTTTAGCAGCTTGGCTGGGTTGAAGAGATTTCAATTTATTCCCTCGATCATCTAGAAGCAGCTTCACCTTGCACCAAGACTAAAAACGTATTTTTAAAATCATTTTATCGTTTTCTTCTTTTTCTAAATCTGACAAAATAGTGTAACACTTGAGATTTGAACTTGTGCAGGAAATAGCTAAATAGTTCATTTGCGATCTCTCATTGACTAAAACCATATTAACAAAAAAATGCCTAAAGGCTTAGATTTATTTTATCAAAAAAACATGAAAAGATATAAATTTTGTAGTATACACAATTTTGATTTGATTTGATTTTTAGTTATGTTCATGCTGTCCAAAAAACATAAAAATTAAAAAACGGTTTTTAATTTTTTTAATAAAAATTTGGGGGCTTTTAGAGTTAGGAGTATGTGCAATATCCTCACCTTATCCCCAACTATATATTGACCCGTTTTCAATGTTCCACGTTGCATCAGAATAGTTGAAGTTTTACCTAACCCATGCTCAACCTTCAAACAAAAAGTAAACAGTAAGAACCAGAAAACTCTAAATATCAAGACGTCTTTTAGCTTAAGTTAAGAGTTTAAACAGTTTAATCAACACGGGAAACAGGAATAATGCACTGTACTGTGAAAACACATATTTCAATCGGGTGGGATTGGAGGGTACCCAGGACGGATTGGAGGGTAACCAAAAATTATGTCGACAGAAAAAAATTGTAAACAATATTAATTGTCTTCTTCATACTTCAGATATTTATCTTTTTTACATGTCATGACTATAGGTTCTGATCTTTTTCAGTCCAACAACAATTTTCGTTTTTTCTATTTTTTTTTTTTTAAGAACAACATCTGCATTATTGTTTGTTGGACCAACCTCAGAACTAAATGTAGAACAACCTGAGATTCCACGATAGTTCCCTCTGCAAGTCCTGTTGGATCACATTTAAGCTCAAGAACCTCAGCCAGGGTTAGAACCTCTTCAATCAGCTTTGATACATTGGTCCCCTGAGCAATCAATCAACACATCAATCAATCAATCAAACAATCAATCAATCAATCAAACAATCAATCAAACAATCAATCAACCAATCAATCAACCAACCACTCTATAACTTAATCAATCAATCAAACAATCAATCAATACTTCTATCAATTTAATAACCTCAAAAATCATTTAATCAGCCAAAAAGCCATTTTAAATCTATCTATCTATTATGACTCCCTAACAACACGAATGTAACCACCCATCCCGGCAACCCTCTGCCTCCTTCCGGGAGTGCGTGGATCACAGAGTAAGCATGACATGTGCAATGATACTGTTAAGCCCGAGTGGTAGTAGCCGAGACCGCGAAGCCCAACTACCGTGGCATATATCTACCTTCTACAGCCTCAACTTGTTATAGAAATGCGTTTTTTTTCTGAAATTCACTCACTCCGACCTTAAAATAAATTCAGTATATTTTTCCTTGAAATATATTATTCATATTCATCCTTGAAATATGTTCTCTATTTCCAATGGAAATACATTCTCTATATCCATCCTGGAAATACATTATCTATATCCATCCTGGAAATACATTATCTATATCCATCCTGGAAATACATTATCTATATACATCCTGGAAATACATTATCTATATCCATCCTGAAATACATTATCTATATCCATCCTGGAAATATGTCAACAAATAGAATCAATGAATAACAAAAAATTCTATAACTAAACCATGCTATCCATCCATCAATCAAACAGGTAACCAATAAGTGAACCAAGTAGTAAGTTTGAAAGTAAAACCAAAAATTGATATGTTCACTCTCAGAAAAATAAGTAAACTTCAAATTTTACCTTGAGAGCTGAAATTGGAACACATTGTACATCACCACCATTCTCTTCCAATCTAATGACAGTGTTGGTTTGAATTTTTATAAATACGTATTCGTATATTTTCCAATTCGTGTGTAAAAAGGCATATTTAGATTTCTCAACCTTAAAAATAATTGTATGTGTTTCCTCTTAAAGCCGGCACAACATTTTATTTAAAGTTACCTAACTCCCTCATCTGCCAGCTCTTGTTTAACTTTTTCAATATTTGCGTTTTTCTTGTCAATCTTGTTGATGGCTACAATGAACGGTGCTCGGGCTTGTCGAATAATTCGGAGAGATTCTTTGCAGAACCAAATTCAAAATGCGTTATAGGTTAAGTATTTAAGAACTAAGTGCTTGCCACAAACTCGAATTTTTTAATCTTTATACCTTTGCAACTTGATGTCAAACTACAAATTCTGTATGGATCAAAAAGTCTAAGATTGAAATACCAAAGGCTTAAACCATCAGGTTGCAAAGATATGGGGATTACAAATTTTTATTTTTATTTAGACTTTTCGTTTATCTCTTAACATTAAAAGTTCAATAGCATATAAAATTTCTGCTTTTTCTGACAATTTTCGTCTACTACAATTTACAAATCAATCGTTTTAGAAAAGAGATTTTTTTCTTAGATAGAATTGTGCTTTCCTTTAGTTTGCTCCAGAACCCCCTCGCAAGCATCTACTATCAGAATAACAATATCTGTGACGTTTGCTCCTCTTGAGCGCATACCCGTGAATGCAGCATGTCCCGGTGTGTCAATAAATGTGACGGAATCTCCAGTTTCTGAAAAAATAATCTCTTGGAATTTTTATGAGATTGTTCTTAAAGGGACCATTGACGTATTTTCAAGTTCCCCATAATTTTACGAGTTGAATGCCCGAATCGCAATTTCGCAAAGGAACCCTTTAAACCCTTGTTTGAGCAAAAAGTATTGAGAAACCCTTGTTTTCTAATCAATAATTGATAACTTTCAATTGCAGATTCTTTATTGAAGTGACTTACGGAAATGTGCGCCACGAACAATGAAGAAAAGTGATGGAATTAAACATTATACAAAATTATTATTAGGAATTGAAAAGTAATTCGAAAAATCTACTAAAAAATTACCTAATGTGACACTAAAAGCTCCAATATGTTGCGTAATCCCACCGTGCTCCCCTGCCACTATTCGGGATTTACGCAAATAATCCAGTAGACTTGTTTTCCCGTGGTCAATATGGCCCATGATTGTGACAACAGGTGAGCGGGCAACAAGGTTGGCTGGGTCAGGGGGCGGGCGTTTGTACGCATCTTTATCCACCACCACTTCAACCTTCTTCTTAGTCGGGTTTGCTATATAGTTATTCTTATAGTTTAAACCACTAGCAATGGTGTTTAATATTTTCCTACTGTAGATTGGATATCGTTCACTTTTTATTTCTTTTGTTTCTTTCTCGTTCATGTTGAGAAGAATTTCAAATATTTCATCCACACTCTTCTTATTCGCAACAGCTGGACATATATAGTTTAGCTTTATTTAGTATTTTTAGATTTAACATTCTTAAGTAATTTTTAATTTAGGCTTTTGTTTGAAATATTTTGATTTTTGTTGGTTTGTAGAGTTTAAATATTTACTCCAGCATGCTGCTTTTACTATTGAATAATAACAATACAGGTGAATGTCATGTAATAAACTTAAAACAATGTTGTTATAAACTGAAATTGAATTCTCAATTATTGTAACGTTAACTATAATGTACGAGTATTTAAAAATAGATGAAGCCAATTTGTTGTAAAGAAAATCTTAATTGATTAAAAATGATAATCATTTACAAAAGATTTAAATAAAGGGTAAAATAAAAGTTTACTAACCTAATTCAGCGATACTAATTCCTTCCCACACTTCAACAAAAGTATTTGTAGATTTGTTGTCAATAAATTTTGCCAGTAAATTTGCTGAAAGTAATATCCCATCAAGATTTATTTATTTTATTCTCAATTTTTGACTTTACCATATCTTTTCTTAGGTTTCTTGTATTCCTTCTTCACTAATTTTTCTTCTTCACCCTCCTCTTCATTTTCTTCTGTATTTTTCTTCTTTATTTTGATTTTTTTCTAACAACCATCACACCAATAATGAAAGTATTTAGATAATAAAAATTCTAAATGAAAATATAGAGATTTTTAAAAATAATTAATGGTCATTACTCAATATCCGTAAAATCAAATCAAATTATCATGATACTAATAACTTTACGAAATCGAAAATGGAGTTTAGTGTTTTTTTTATCTTATTTAATCCAGTGACCAGATTTTATGAATATCGAAAAGTAGTTAAACTAAGTAGTCAAAGTTAAAGCATCTCTTGTACACCAGTTGGAGAGAACCTGATCAAATTGAAAAAAAGTGGTTCAACTTAGTCTACACTCTACAATTACATAGTTCAGTAAGTTCTTGATTTTCATTAATATAGTCTTTGAGGTGTTAAAATGTGCAATTAAAAGGACTGTCACGTAATCTTGAATAACCCTCTGTCTTAAAAGTTACATGCCCGCTACAAAATAATGCCTTTAAACAATTATCTGAGTAAAAATGACGAAGACAAATCGTTATTCTAAATTAAACAGAAATAAATCCCGTCAATTTTGCTCCATGTCCTAACATGGCAATAGTTTAAACATCCGCAAGCAGCTTTAAAGAAAACTCGTAATTAAAAAATTAAGTTTAAGACTGCGACGTATTAGATGGGTTCCTTAGCGTGGAATTGTGAGGTTGTTGACAAACATCTTGAATGTTTGATGTTAAATTTAGTAGAGAAGAAAATAGAGGAAGAAGCTTGCTGGACAGTCTATAAAAGTTTCAAAATATGTTTTTTTAATGAATTAACATGTTCCCATTTCCCTTCTATAATTGATGGAATTTTTCTAAGATTAATTGTCCATAAGTCAGAACAAGAAAACAATCATCTTAAAATTTAACTTGATTTCAACAACTGCTAATGTATGTTTAAGGGTTTAATCTATGAACAACAGTTGACTTTTCGCAATCGCTCTGCTGCCGAAAACAAATATTCGAGACTGCCAATTGATCAAGCTTATGGAACTAACCAAAAGAAATTAGCTCAATCAGAGGCCGAATTTAAAGAATTTGTATTAAATTTTTCAAAGTTTAAGCTGGCCCTCAATTGAAATTGGGTTTTGGGGGATTTTAGACGCGGCTTAAATTCATTCAATTCGGACACTGTTTGTTCTTTTTGTTAAGACCTTATGTTTTAATTTTGAAAATTTCCCATTTATAAAATTAAACCTACTTTGAGATCTGCCAGAAAATGCGCAAACTCCAAAGATCTGGAACATTTTCTCAAAGTTAAAGTAGAGACAAGCCGGTACATCTGGAAATACAATTTCATCAAGCAGACTTCAAAACTGTAGTCAATAATAGTAATCAATACAGATCTTCAATATCTGACTATTATCAATTTCATGAATTAAAAAAGCAATACAAAAAAATAGAACAATAACTTTTAGCAAAAATACGGTTGTAGAAAATAGTGAATACATTGTAAACAGGGGTCAATATAATTCCCTTTTCAATCCCATTTGGGATTGACAAATTTGAAAGAAATGGGGGCAAATTCTTTAATTGGGGGCAAATTTTTTTTTAAAAAAATCTATTAATATCGAGATGTAAAAATATTATAACGATGAAAAAGCGACAAAATGATTAAATATAAATAATAATTACATTAATAAATAATCTATGTAAAAAATGAGATTGTTTATCAGTAAAAAAATACTAAGTAGTGTACATATTATAAAGATTGTTTAGCACTTTATGCTAAATTAGGTAAAAAGTTGTGTTTAATGTATCTAACTTGAAAAATTTAAAGTGAAAGATAAGTGGCATATTAAAAATGAAGGGACACAAAAAAATGTTATTGTCTTCTAAATTAAACATTTACATTTTTCAGAAAATTATGAAAGTATCATCAGTGCATAGATTTAGATAAAAAAGCCAAGTCTCGTTGTAGATTGTAGAATTTCTAAGATTGAACACTGAATATCATACAGAGATACAATTTCAGGGCTATATTTATATTTTGTTAAAAAAATAAATTTCTCCAATTTTTTATTTTTCCGGCCAATATCTTAAAACTCTTGCAATAAAAATATTGACCTTTTTTATCATGGAAATAGTTCTATTTTAGAGCTAGGAGGAAATTGAATTTAATGGAGAAGGTATAAAAATGTAACAAAAAGCCCTGTTTATCATATGTTTCCAAAAAGCGTTAACACAAATTTCCCATTGGTTGTAGGGTGAAATTCTTGAAAATATACACCCCCGTAAATATATACAGAAACTGTAGAGTTCATTAAATTTGATAGTACTGGGCAGCTGCTACCCCTACCCTGCTCAAGTGTTTATATTTGGATTCAACCTCTTTTATAGAAATTGAATGCTGTTTAATGTAATGATTGGACAACCAGTCCCGAACCTTAAACCTTGAGTCACAAAGATGGCATTTATGTGGCCTATCGTTAGTATGGGTTGCTTGGTGGTTTAGAAGATGTTTTCGTTCAATAAATCTCATTCCGCACAGCTCACAGGCATACGGTCTGTTCTCCGGAGCCACATGAATTCGCATGTGCATTCGCAAGTTTTGTTTCCCAAAAAATTCTTTTCCACATGTGTCACAAGAGAAGTTTTTAACCCCTATGTGATGCTTGACCACATGTTCTTTGAGGGAATGTTTGTTCTTGAAAGATGAGGGGCACTGAGAACACGAGAACACATGTTCTGTATGAACCTAAACAAAATTATTTAAGCACACTTAAAAAATCTATTTGATTTTTATCAGGAAAAGGATCAAATTGATTTGGGTCTGGACTTGAATCCAGAAATCCAATGGGTATAATCTAACCTGCCCAGAGCGCAAAATATTGAAGATCCTAGGCAATGCTATAAAAATTAATTACCTGATTAATATGTCTTTTAAGCTCTTCATTGGTGAGAAAGGTTTGAGGGCAGTCTGTGCACATGAGGCGCTCCGGTAGCAAGTTTTCATGGGTAGATTCAAGATGATCTTTGAAGTTTTTATAAACGGAAAACATCTCAGGGCATTGAAAGCAACGAATAGGCATAGGAGAATTGTAGAACTTCTTGGTACAGATCAAGTTGTGGACCAGGAAGCACATCAAGCTCTTCTTGGCCTCGGTGTACTTGTTGCATCCGTTGCAGAAGAACTCCTTAGTCTCCTTGTTGAAGAGAGGGCTGTGGATAGATTTGTTAGGAGTGTCAGGGTGCTCAGCTGTGATGTGACACATTAACTCGTCTTGGGAGAGGTATAACTTGAAGCAGATATAACACATACTTTACAACCATGCGTTTAAGATCATTAAAAAAAATTGTAAAAATTCATGTTATTTACTAAAATTCTGAAATCATGAGAAACAATTGTCTTTAAAAGATGTATTTAAATGGCACTTTGGATAAATTAAATTATCTAAAATGAGAAGTGTTTTTATGATCAATGTTTTAACATAAAATATTGACAAAATCTGAATTTACAGAAAGATATAATAAACATTTAACGCAAAATCCCTGATTTGTGTTGTCATGGTTCCAATGATGAGCGCAGCTCCCCATAATTTCTGTATGGCAGGTGTTCCTTGTCTTAAATGTATTCTAAAACGAATAAAAAACATTATAGTGTTTGTGTTTTCTTAATGTAATCCCAATCTTATCTGCCTTTTTTTTTTTTGCTTACTTCCCTCACGAAATTTAGGGGTGGAGGGGGAAAGAAATTATAAGATTCCGATTATTTTCTCACCTATACGCTAACCGATCACCATTATTGGGTTTATCACTCTCCTTCAAGTATTTGGGTTGGATTTGGTTTATCTTCTCAATCACCTCTGGATATCGATCCTTCTTCTGTTCAAGGGCGCTCATATGCTTCTTAGATTTCATATGATCCTGCACAGGAAAAGATGGTTAAAACGTAAAAATAAATCCTCGAAATCTGGAATCACGAAAATCCGCGAAGATATTGAAGAAATTGTCGGATTTACCTGAATATGACTTTTCCGCTCCCAGTTGACCGGACACCTGCAGAACAAACATCTGACCTCATCAACCTTAGCTAACTTCTTCATCCACGGGAACTCCTCCAATCGTTCCAACAGCTTTCCCTAATCAATTGATTAAACAATAAACAGCAACAAAGAATAAGAATTAAAAAAAAAATTAAAAATATCTATAGACAATTATTACTAAAATCTAATTTTATGACGAGTAACAATTTAAAAGAGCGTGTTTTTAAAGATACACCAGCATTACTGGTTAAAATCGCTTTCTGAAATCAAAATAGAACCTGAATAGGCACATCAGATTCATCTTCATATTCCTCATCAGAGGATTCAGATTTTTTATTTCCCCTTCCTCCTGCACTCTTCACCCGCTGCGCTTGTGCATGAATCTTTGCCCTAAAAACAAATAAAAAAATAGTCTCAGAACCACCATTTTAGGTATTTAAAAAACTAAATAATATTGTTTTATGTTCGGTGATATTAAAATCAATCCAATCTAATCCAATCCAATCCAATCCAATCTAATCCAATCCAAGTGTTAGAGACGATTCAAATACTCAGAGTCGACAATTGTTAATTATTTAATTTTTAAGCTTTGAAAGATTTTAATTGCTAAACAGAGGAAAAATACGAGTTTTGTTTAGTTCAAAAAATGAGTTTATAATGGGTGTCAACTGAAAATGTTAAAATGCCAGAAAAAAAATGTAAACTTTAACATAAGAATTCATAATAGAATAGATTCACTGCTTACCCGAAGAAGATCTGGAAATTGTCGAAGGCGAAGTGCAATCGTGAGATCTGAAGGTCGACTCATTAATGACTTTTCTGAATCCTCCTTTCCAACCTAGGGAAATGATTTTAAAAATATTTCTTTTATTACTTTTATTCTAATAGATTTAAGGTTTTTTCCTGGAGTGAAAAATTAATTAAGAACGTAATAAAACTAGCAACTTTTTCGCCAGTATTTAAGTAAATTTTTATATGTATTTTGCATAAAAACAAGGAGCCCAATATATTATTAATTAAGTAAAGAAAGAATATTTAAATATACCTTTTCTATCCTTGTGGTTGACCAATCCATGGACTTCTCGTAGTTGAATTCCCCCCTGGAGAAAGTTCCATCCGTCCCGAGGGAACCAATAAAACTGAGATCAGAGAGACAACGGAGAACTCGCTCTTTTTGTTCGGCAGAGGTAGGATACGCCTTCCCGTAGTACATCACATCTAACAAGAACAAAACATAATTTTTTTAATCTTATTTCTTTATGAGGTTCTCTAATATCTATCTATTCTTACATGCCCCAAGAAAATTGAGAGCTATATGGTTGGTCGAAATTAAAAAATTTACCAAATTCCCTTTTCTTAAAAAGTCCACAAAAAAACGAAAAATCATGAAACCATAAATTGTCATTTGCTTTATGAAAAAAAAAGTTGTTCTTAGTTTTAAAAACTGAGGCAGCTTTCTATAGATAAAATTAGCACAGATTAGGGACTTAAACCTAGTAATATTAAGAAAGTTGTTTTATTTTAAAAGATTTTTTAGAAAACCCTAAAATATAATTATTAAATAAGTTATGAGTTACCTAGCGCAAGTTCAACATCAACTGAACTAAATCCAGGACAGAGTAAAGAAGTTTGAACATTCACATCGTCCAGAGAAGTGAAGAGCAGTGTTGAGAGCAGAAATGGTTCAATGTGTGCGTGGATTATTTTATCCGCGCACACTATTGAAAGTTCGCGCTCAGAGCTGGCACGTAGATGTTTTAATTCTTCGACTATATACTGTCCAATGTCGGATTTTTGTATTTTAATTTCGTCCACGGCATTTGAAGATTCTTGTGATTCCATTTTAACCTCGTCTTTACAATTGTTCTCGTAAAACAGAGATCTCGCATGATGTTCAGAGGTTTCTTCATGCTCCTTTAGTTTCAGGAGACTTTTCCAAGGAGTTTCCTGTCGACAGGGGGCACATTTAGGAACTCCTTGTACTAGTTCTAACCAGGGAAACTCCTTTATCCTATTCTCTATTTTCATCTGTATCTTGGAATGCTTGGAAGTTTCTAAATGCTCTATTATTGTGTCTATACTACCCCAACTAACTTTTCCTTGGCAAATATTACAGAAAGAAAATCCTAATCCTTTAAGGTATTCATCTTTGTGTTCAAGTAGAAATGGATAGAGCTTAGACATTGTTTCAAAACTGGAAGGATTTTCTCCGATAATTGGATTGGTTACAGGAGGACTGGCTGTGATTTTAGATGTTGATAAAACTGTTCTAAGATTGTTATAATCTTGAACAGGGGGTTGATCTATGGGTTGCATGCTGTCCTTGGAACCTTGGATTTGCTCTTGAACCAGCTGAGCCAGTTCTCCGGCAGTACCGGAGTAACCATGGAGAATTTCGGTCTTTGAGCCATTTTCATCTCCTACAATATCCATATTAACATCTGTAAATAAAAACATTTCAAAACCTCGGTACCTTAAAAAGAATTATTAGCTTTATGTACAGTTCGATTTTGTACTGTTACATATACAAAGTGTGCTAAACGAAAATGTGCGAAAGCTCAGTCTGAAGGACAGGCGGATTCAGTTTAACATGATCCAGACTTTCAAAATCGTACATGAGATTGATAGGGTTGACAGAAGAATTTGGTTTGAGTTTGCAGAAGACGGAGGCGAGAGAGTAACACGGCTTTCAGTGGATCCCTTGAACATTAAAAGTAAACTATCCAATACAGAGTTGAGAAGAAGATTCTTCTCTAATCGTGTAGTTCAACAATGGAACAACCTGACAGAAGAAATAACAAATGTAAAATCGGTTGGCTCCTTTAAAAGCCAATACACACAGTGGAAACTCCACCAGTCTGAGGATTAAAAAGAAGGAAACTGAATGAAAGAATGAATTTACTCGACTGGAATATCTGAAAGATGTAACTACAATGTTACTATCAGTGGGGCGCTTGATTCAAGACTTCAAGTAATTACTGTATGTTATAAACATAAAAACACTTAAATTACGACTATTAAGCGTAAAAACAAACGGCATTAAATGTTGGGTTGACCCCAGTGCTTGGCCCTGTAGTCGCAAAATTCGACATGACTTTACCTAATGTGATCAACAATATTGGTTAAGTTACTGATCGAACATGATATTAAGCAGCAGGGAGGGGGGAGGGGTTTTCTATTGAATCCGTCCCCCCCCCCCCC